AACTCCAACACCTGTCCACAGAAAATATGACTATTGCTCAAGTTTGTCCACGGTAATTATGTCAATTGTTCACCTCCTGTCTCCTCCGAGAATTTCTACATAGGGAAACTATGAAACAGGGTCGAGAGACGTCCAAGTAACTGATCCAGGGGCACACCAACGACCCTAAAAAGAGTGTGCAAGAACACTAGTTAAACTGGGGTGCCCCACTCAGAACTCCCACTAGGGTCTAGCCTCCCCTTAAATAGTTCCAGAAACATAAGAAAAAGGTAAAAAAAGATTATTAACGAGGGTGTCAAACTAAAGAAGGTGTCGACCGAATGGATAACGCTAAGTCAGGAAGGGTCGGGACCCATTTCCAGGCCCGTCTGAAGTTTGCTAGAGAGCATTTAGATGATCAAGAAGAGGATTGGGAGAATGTCATATGGTCAGATGAAACCAAAATAGAACTTTTTGGTAAAAACTCAACTAGACGTGTTTGGAGGAGAAAGAATGCTGAGTTGCATCCAAAGAACACCATACCTACTGTGAAACATGGGGGTGGAAACATCATGCTTTGGGGCTGTTTGTCTGCAAAGGGACCAGGACGACTGATCCGTGTAAAGGAAAGAATGAATGGGGCCATGTATCGTGAGATTTTGAGTGACAACCTCCTTCCATCAGCAAGGGCATTGAAGATGAAACGTGGCTGGGTCTTTCAGCATGACAATGATCCCAAACACACCGCCCGGGCAACGAAGGAGTGGCTTCGTAAGAAGCATTTCAACGTCCTGGAGTGGCCTAGCCAGTCTCCAGATCTCAACCCCATAGAAAATCTTTGGAGGGAGTTGAAAGTCTGTGTTGCCCAGCGACAGCCCCAAAACATCACTGCTCTAGAGGGGATCTGCATGGAGGAATGGGCCAAAATACCAGCAACAGTGTGTGAAAACCTTGTGAAGACTTACAGAAAACGTTTGACCTCTGTCATTGCCAACAAAGGGTATATAACAAAGTATTGAGATTAACTTTTGTTATTGACCAAATACTTATTTTCCACCATAATTTGCAAATAAATTCTTTAAAAATCTGATTTTTTTCACATTTTGTCCCTCATAGTTGAGGTATACCTAGGATGAAAATTACAGTGGGAGAACTTGCACAATTGATGGCTGACTAAATACTTTTTTTTTTTTTTTGCCCCACTGTAATTATCGCTCATTAGAAGAGTGAAAATACATCTTCAAAGTATTTATTTGGCTGTAATTCAATAGCTAAGAATGTAAAAATACCTTTTTTTATAAATGGTGCTTACAAATGTGCAATAATAAAAAATGTAAATTGCCAAGGGAAAACCACCAAGATGTTTTGGAGTAATTACGAAAGTACTATAAATGCACTAATCCTGCTATAATGACCCAAAGAAGATCTCCACTTAATTGAAGTGACTTAATATAAAAATATAAATAATAACCTTCTCATTAAAATGTGATACATCTTTTTTAACAATAGATTACATTGGTCACTTCCTTTTATATGTTAGGCGCCTGGGTGACAAGCTCCCAGGAAGTCTGCAGACGTTGATGCAATATTTAGTGGCCAAAGGGTGGTACTACAACTTATGGGCCCAAAAATACTTTTCCTCATTGAGTGAGAAAGAGATGTCTGTACATCAGCAGATTTTATTTTTTTAGCTAAATCAACTACCCAGTACGACCCCTTTTTATAGCCCCTATGTTAATCAATAGGGTTTTGCGCTTAAAGCCAAAACCAGAGTTATTTTTCCTCTTCATTCATTTCACTGAGACGAGATCGGCCTAAACGCACGGACTAGTACAGGTACTTTTGCTCTCGAGATTCAGGCCATTGGACATATGCTCTACTCACAGTTTGTTTCCTTTGAGGGCAGCGTGGTGCAGCAGGTTGAAGCCTCGATGGTTCTGCTGTGTGAAGTCAATGTTGGGCACCAAGACCAGGATCTCAATGATATTGCGGAAATCTTTAGCGATGGCGTCATGGAGCGGTGTGTCCCCATATGAATCCTGATTGGGGGAGAAACAGTTGGTTTTTAAAGTGGCCTAGTAAGAGAGACTTTCACACATTAAGCCAGTACGAGATATCCGGGCCTATTTGTTAGTCATGCTGAGACATGACACAGCAACATTTAAATTACCGTTTAAAATGAAATGGCTGAAATCTAGACAATTAAGAGTGAAATGGATGCTGTAGTTAATTCTTATTATGCAGAGTACAAACTAAAAACCTCTAGGCTTTCACTCCATGTGTTTATATGAGCAGACACAGTACTCAAGCAGAAAAAATAAGCTGTTAGTGAATTCGGGGTATGGTTGCAGGCATGTGAGACCGTCTGGAAAATGCCCTACTAAGACACTACAATGCTTGAGTGAATATTCAAGGTTTTTAACTTTTTAATGACAGAATCAACAGATGCCAATTAATGTAGATAAATAATATGCAAGGAGTGGAAAAATAAGAATCAAACACTTAAATCTTCACTAGTATTTGTTCAGTATTGCGAAAAATAGTAATGAAAGGCCAATCAGAAGCATGTCAGGGCCTCTCACCTGGAGATTGACATCAGCAGAGTGTTCGGTCAGCACTCGCACCACGTCTGTGAAGCCCTTGTTGACAGATATGTGGAGGGCCGTGCACATGGAGTTGTTCAGGAGGTTGACATTTGCCCCCTTGCTCAACAGCAGCCGGGTGATATCTGCCTGGTTACTAAACGGAGATGAAGAATAAATAGGAAAAGATGCAGATTAATCATCACTGTTATATATTTATTGTGATTCAAATTTCCAAACTGTTCTCTATTCAAATTCATTCAAACCAGTATTTGAAATCTCAAATGCCTATTCTGAAATCTTGGACAAAGCTCAAGGTTTGCATACTAAGTGAGAGTAATATCCCTTTTAATTACTGCCATTTTGTTTGCATGGTGCACCACTGCTGCAAGAGTTCATTCCTGAAGAGATTTAGAAAATGCTGACTTCACGAGTATATGGTAATCTGAGGAGAGGATAAGACACAGCTGACTGATTAGGCAACACTTTAATGCGGTCACTTCTGTGAATGGATTATCACATTACAAGAAAAGACACAGACAGCTCTACTGTAAGTCTGTCAGTCTGCAAGTCTTCCTTAAGACACAAGGAGCACCTTTGTACAAACTCAAACGTGTGCAAGAAAACTGTGTGTGTCCTTACCCAAAGGCAGTGTAGTGCAATGCTGTGTCTCCATCTTCATCCTTAACCTCGATGGAGCTGTTGGCCTGCAGCAGGGCCTTCACCACCTCCATGTGTCCTTGGTGAGCAGCCACCTGCAGTGCAGTCTTGCCCTGGTTCTTTATATCCACCTGACAGCAACACAAAGGTGGAGCAAGACTCATGAGAGGCAGTGACAGCTTGGACATTAAGAGATGAACATCAACACGTTGGTCATACACTCGATACATAATCCCAATAAGTAGTGCAGTCATCAGAAGGCAGAAATATAGTCTTAAACATAAAAGTAATTAATTTTCTCACAAATGAATTAAAAAAAAAATCACCTGAGATTATACTATACAAGTCATATGTAAAGGCAATTATAAGCGTGTTGTAAAACATTTTAAACCAACTGTAGGTCATAGCAATTTGTCAGTTAAATAATAGTGTAAGACAGACTGAGCATTTCCGACATTGAAGTGGCAAATGAACAACAAGAAAAAAAACTGTTTGTAAAATGAATATGGTTGATTCACGAAAGCAACACTTGAATTTTGAATTTTTTCTTATTATAAAAATATATATTTTTGGTCGAAGAACATTATCGCCAACTCCTACTACTATATTACCACCTGTCTAAATTGAAAACAAATAAATCCTTTATTTAAGTGACTAACTTGTACTGAAAGTCTTTTTCACAGGGCCAACATATCGTTTTAATCTTGATTTAGCAATCCTAGATAGCCATAGTATCCTCATTTCTCTCTGTAGATGAAATGTATAAATAGAGTAAATTACATAATAATACATAAAAATAAAACTTTATTTGTGAGAGGAGTTGCAGATTCTTTCAAGTCAATACTTTAAAGAGACATTAGAGTTTGTCTGTTACGAGAGCTGTTATGTCACTCTGGCCTTTAAATTCCCCGCCCCCAGTCTTGGTGTCCCGGTAGCAAGAGCTCTTGGAACGGGCAGTGGACTGCAGCAGAGAGGAGTAGGGGTGCACTAACCTTGTCGGGATATTTCTGCACCAACTCCCGCACTTTGTTGGCACTGCCGTGCGCTGCCTCGATGACCAGCCGGCTGGGATTGTCCTGCTCCGTGGACTGAGAGAGCAGCTTCTCCAACACCGATATGACTGTACCTGCACAGAGACATAGGCAGGTGAAGGGAGGGGGCAGATGTTGTGAAATAAGGGGGATAAACAAGAGAGACAAAAGGATTAATAAAGCTAAATCAGTCCAAAGTAAACAACATTATACAAATTGTTTCGAAAATTCTTCTAGAGGGCTAAAATAGTAGACAGACAGGTTAGCTGAGCTCAATTCAAAACCACAGGAATGAGTCAAAATGCCCCCAATCTGACCACACACAGCACTGTTGCCAAGCTCCCACCCGCTGAGGTGAACACATGCACAGAGCTGATTTAGTCATGACGTGCTGCCAAAGCCTCTCGCTGTCAACATGCAGTATCATGACATGCAAGAGTGAAGAACACTTAAAAAAATGACAGCCCATAAATACACTGCTGAAAAAGAGACGGACAGGGAATGGCCATGACCATTTCCACAGCCTGAATGTGAAAGCATGCAGCTGGAATGAGGACAGGGGAGAATGAGAAAATGCCCGCAGAAGGTAAAGCCGGAGCTGGAGTGTTAGAGATGAGCCCCCTTCGTCCCGGCAGAGGCCTTACTTCCAGATTCGTTGGGGTTCTCGGCCGTCATGAGGTTGGCGTCCACCTCCACCGTCTGGCCCGTGAGGCACGCTGGGTTGAAGGTCCACGTCTGGCCTCCGAATGCCACCCGAAGGTCACCATCCGCATATACTTTCAACACCTTCCCGGCATGGCCGAGCACCTAGGGACAAAAACAGTGAGTAAGGCGGATGTGGTATGGGTGGGTGAGAAAGAAAGAGTAGAATAGTAGATAACAATGGAGAAGGTTGACAAATAACCAGGCTGAATTCACAGAAGCATCTTTAAATTTGATTACTTCCAGATGTTCACACAATTTTTGGGAAGTAGTTCACTTTTAATTCTTAGGGAGACAAATGCAGGCTTTACTTTGGCACAGTTAACATCATGCACACAGACAAGGGGTAACATAAACATATCAGAATAATGAGGTGGGACAAAGTCCTTTAATTGCAAGTGATACGTCTTAGTTATGAAAGTCAAGTTGCACATCCAGACATGCAAAGTGCCAGGTCAAAACTTTAATAAAATGTTTTTTAATTTCATGTCCTAAACAAGTAACCATCTAATTTAATTTAAATGTTAATGATTTTCAGGTTGAGTGTCTATCTCCTAGTAGCAGTTAGAACATTACATAAATATAGTAAATAATAATGAGTCATTGCTGGGGCCATTCCAAGTCAAAAGACTTAAGTCCAAAACAACATATAAGGGTCATTTTAGGACAACAACAAATTATGGTAATATCAAAAGTATCATCAAAAATACAATGATTGTTCTAATTTGTTATATATTCTTCAAATGTATGACTATAACATTTCAGAGATTACTCAAGTGTTGTTGCTTGTGCATTTGTATATTTCTCTTTCTTTAAAATGTATTACATTCAAGTATTTTTTCCCCTCTCCTGCTCTGTTATCTTCCTATTATTCTACCTACAATTGAGTTAAAAGTAGTTTTATTTTGTAAAGTCAGCTATAAAGTCATCATGACCTCAGTCTAAAGATTCAGTCACACTCTTGTCACAGTCATGTGCCTCAAGTCCACACCTCTGCCCCAGGAGAGCATGACTTCAGCATCTATAACTAACGCTGAAACACCATGCGGCATTAGTGTTATCAGGCTATTATCTATAATGAGGCTAAATGAGCATACAGGAGCCATGCTGTCTGTCCACTCTCCATGGCCAGCCTGTAGTCTCTTCACACTGTCGATGTCCTCCAATACTTTTACTAGTTCGCCAACTCCAAAAGTGTTCACCTAGTGGAAAGAAAGATGGAGAAATTGTTACCAAACTACAAACATATTTATAATCCAGATAAAGTCCAATTAAACTGAAGTTCTGAAGCATGTGAGATCCTCATATCTGTAACTATACCTTGGTGAGGGCCCCAGGATGGAAAGTCCAGCGGATGTTGTTGCTGTACTGGACTCTGACATCGCCTCTGTCAGTAATTCTGTGAATAGTCCCGATCCGGCAAATGTACTGCAAACACAAATAGGCCGTTTCACCCAGGGTGTCTCTGTGCACACCCGTGACCTTAATGTTCCCTTTAGCAGCTGTGATTTGAAAGTTGGACGCTCCGTTTCCTTTCACTCTGTTGCACGCCAATGTCCATCTGAGACACTTATATAAATATTCTGTATGCCAGGCTTGAGAGGCACGTGTGTTATGATTGTTTGAGGGAATATTTGGAGAAATATTTTCGTGAAGTACAAAGAGTTCATTGAAGCATACTGGAAAAAATAGGGGAAGTTCATGTTGTACTTTTCATTAGAGGAACTCCTCAGGGAGCTATGTTAAGCTCTCTTTAGTTAATATGTTTGTGTGATTTCTCTCTCTGGCAGAAGGGAAGACTTTAATACCTCTGCCATTTTGGGGTTCCACCCTCCATGGCCCTCCTGCATCTGTCGTAGGATTTCCATCTCCAAGAGACATTTGACCTTGTCGCCCTGCTGGAAGGAGTGGCCGTCAGCGCTCTCCTGGCGTTGCAGCTCTGCATGCTCTCCTGGATGGACAGGCGTTGTTTTAAAGAGTTACAAGGGTTTTACAAAGCCGACATCAACAAAAGTTTAGGTTTGAAGGTAGCATGTCTATAATTGTTCCATTCCATCATATTTACATTGTTGTAATGTTTACAAATGTCAAGCAAAAATACGTCAAATAATTAGAAGAAAATAGGGCAAACAGGTTGTCACTTAGAATTTGTTTTTCTGAATACCTATTGCCTACAGTACAGAGAAATTATGTTAGGGTTGAATATTAAATGGAGGGCTGAACTGTACTTATCAGTTGGAAGTAGGGATGGACTTAATGTTTTTTTTGTCAATCAAGCTTTTTTATGATGCATTTCCCTATAAAAAATATGGATAATTATATGTTTTTAAATTGTGAATCTAGACTGATTCTTTTATATAGGTACATTCTCTTTGACCACAGTGAACTATTTTTGGTAACGCTAAACAGCAACAAATATGGATTGAAAATAATATTTCAAGAGAAATAAAAACATGTTGTGTTTATTGATTTATTTGTTCAATAAATGTTGAATTTTGGACTCAACCACGATCTTGTGTGGTCCAAACTTGCGAAATGACACGACGCACAAGAATCAGATTGTTCATGAAGCCGATATTTGTCCAATATACTCCTAACTATCCGGTGTTATCCCTTACAAAACTGAGTCATTAATGACTAAAACATGAATCTGTTGTTCTTACCGAGCCTTGGTAGGTGTTCTTTGTAATAGAATCCTCCTTGACCATCAGAAACGTATTTGAGGTCCACTTTTCCTTTGTGGCCCATTCGGTAGACATTGGTGGTGCCATTAGACCAGGTGACGCTGGCCACGCTGCGACCGGACTCCGTGTCCCAGCCGCGAATGTCCACTACCTTCCCAACCTTACCCTCCCCGCCTACACACGCATACATACACAGACAAATGTGCAAGAAACAATAATGTATCATTGTTGGGAGAAAAGCAAAGATTAAGGCAGTGAAAATACATTGGCTCTTTAAAGAAGGAAAAATGATTAGATGCAGAGACAGAGAGTGAAGTTAATGTGTTTGGATCAGGAGAGAAAACATGAAATTATTCAGTGTAAAATGACAACAGGCTCAATGTAGACATATGACACAATGAGAAGACAGACACAGAGGTGTGGGAGAAACAGCTCCCCTGTAGAGACATAAGCTGACAAGTGTCACTCACTTCCAATTTTCAATAGCATCAAGTCAAAATTAAGGGATTAACCTAAATATTTTTACATCAAGTTTAACAATGCAAGAAAACCCTTTTTCAAGCCATTAAAGTTCCTAACCACCACACCAGCTAAACCAGTGACCCGTAAGACTACATGCTGGGGGTTTCTGAGCATGCTCAGAGCGCACACACAGTTTAAGCCTGACGAGTGACTTCACCAAACCCCAGGGCGATGATTTCAAAGACACCAAAAGGACATTTTGACTCATTCGCTCTCGCCCAGAAAAAGAAAAGCGTTGCTATTCTCAGAGACAAAGATGAACCCAACCCGGGAAAGATGAAGACATACTGTAGTAGCATTCCTTATTCCCCTAAAGGGAACATACAAAGGCTGGAATTTAGCTCACTAATGTGGAAGAGTGCTTTAATATTAAAACTATTTTAAACATCAGGCAGAACAGGTTGTCTCAAAATGGCAACAATGTAGACTGCAGACATTCTTAAAAGCCAGGAATGCGCAATATCTATTCTCTACTTTCTCAACACTTGCAGGGTAGACTGTGTTTTAAGTGAATGGGCTTCTCAGTTTATGCCACTACACAGGAAAAAGAGAAACAAAGAAGATACATGTTACAGAAACAAGGACACTCAAACAGGCACATCTGTGGAGCAGACTCAGATGAGTCACAGGCAATATAAATACACGCAGACACAAAGTAACAGGACATAGTGCGGGTTAATGAGACGTGAGGTTGGGATGTTATTATAGGCTGTGGATGGAGAAACACTTTGAAGAGGAATACAGCTTCATGCTCGAGAAGGTAGGGGGGCCTGCTGAGTTAGCAGGACAGAGCTGGTGGTTAAGAACATTTCCCCCCACAAACACCACTCACCGTCTTGGTTGCCCCAGTCCCAGTCAGGTCCACGAACCACTTTGACCCCCTGGAAGATTCCTTTGAGGATGATCCGTGGGAGGTTCTGCCTCGGTGCCAAGCACACTCTGCGATAAGAGCACAAAGACACAGCTGATCAAACTGCTCGACAGACCATCAAAGACAATGTAGAGAATTTATATGAAATCCCTTGTCACACAATCCATATTAAGAAGACCAACACAACATGAAATAGCAAAGAATAAGTGCAGTACCACAGTATTTCTATGTGAATGCATTTACCTCATCATACATTTGTCAGTATTAAGGACTCAGATTTTACGATTTAAAAAAAAAGGTTTTAAGAGTAAATGTAGTCTATCAATCATAAATCCAATTTAAATTGTATCTTTAATTTGTTTAATTATTATCCTAAATGTTTGAAACCAACAAAAGCTTTTTGTTTCAAGTGTTTTAAACGTGAATCAGCCTTTTTTATCCTCTTATTAGCACAGTGCAACCTGTCTCATGTGATCCCCCTATCATGTGTGTGTCCTCTGCCTAACGTCCAACTTCTCATTAATTTGCAGAATTTTGTTTATTGTGGCACAGTTCTTCCACAAGTGGTCAAGAGATAAGCAGGAAATACCTGACAGTAGTTAAGACAAAGTATTTCTTCGGATGGGATTTCCCATCTGTCAAAAGCTCAACTCAAAGTAAATATATAGGAAACCAATGCATAGCTGCCGACACCCTGACTAACAGCCCAAATTGCCATTAAAGATTCAGGCAATCTAAGAGAAAGTAATTTCCTCAAAATCTGACATACCTTATGGTAAAGATTTGATCAGATCTTGGCGCAAAGGAGCTGCCTATTCCCATACTTTGACAAGATCAAACCTCGGCTTCCATTTAAGGCAAACAGCTTTTTGAAAAGACTCAAAGTCATATACAATCCAGTGTGATCAAAAGAAGAAGAGCCTTGTCAGAGCTGTCGTCCTCAGGGAGTCTGATAGAGGCTTTGCTGCTTCCACATGTCTGTCTGTCGGGTATTGCTTCAAGTTAGCCTTGGCTAACTTCATCCCCCGCCAATGGAAACACATTTAAGGTTCCTGGGTGCTTTGGCAGGAAACAGAAGGACGTTTGACTCTTAGAGCCAACTAAAAGTAAATCCTAGCATGGGACTGGGCTTTGACATGTCGGTGCCGAGAGTGTATCCGTAAACAGAGCTTTGAGCCTAATCCCTTGACAGCAGATCCATCAGGAAGCAGGCCACCACTGGGCAAAGTATATGAGAAATATAAATAGAGATATAGAAAAAACAGTGGTTCATTTGTTAAGTATACATATCCTTCATTGCTTCAATTCATTAATTTTGCTGATGGGTTTTAAGAGCTTTTCAAGGATTTTAGTTTATAAATGGAACAACTGTGATAAGGCCAACTAGTTCCGGTAACAGACTTCCTGAACTTGTAGTATTAAGGGTCAAGGAGTGAATGTAGCAACCTGTGCCAATTTCCTTATTAAGTTCAGACATGAAGGACTGACTCTAAAAGATACCAAGAGCAGTACTTTCTATAATGAAAGATGAAGAGCTGTTTACTAAGAGAAAATAGTTTTCCAAAGACTGGATCGATGGATTATATCAGTGGTAAATGGGGTGTAAATAGACAGATGACCTCAGTGTTTGACATGTGTTCCGGTGCAGCTACTCCGAAAAAGACAACAGCTCTTTGAAGGGATCAAGATTTCTAATCCTGCCTGGCTGAATGTCACCAGTGCTCCCAGACAGGATCAGGACCTGCCACCTTCTGACATAACGGCTGGGTCAACAGTCAGACAAGTGAATTTTACCCTTTGAGAGGCAGTGAAGTAAACAGAATTAAGCTTTATTTGTTGAAATCAAAAGCGAGGGAACAGAAAAAAATAATTCACATTAATTGGTTAAGCTATTAGGTAGTGTAATGGTACAATTTTTGAGTGGAATGATGGTTGACGGCTTCATCTTAAAATTCAGATGGCCGTGGTTAAAAATGTCACCCGGTTTTTACAGCAGTTTTTGAAAAGTGGCCCCTTGCCCATTTACGGTCAGCTCCATGAGCTGGACACAAACCAAAAGAATAGCCCACCTTTCTGATCGGAAGGAAAAACATAACTTCTTTTAAATTGATAGAAAAGGTAGGAAATTGGGGTATGCATACCTTCCTGTAAATATTAGTGGAATATTCATTTTCATTAGCCATTTTAAAAGCTTATAAGAATTATTGTCTTTTTTCAGAATAAAGTTCCCTTTCAGGACACTTTAAGCATGTATTCATTGTTTAATGTCTAACAAATGTGCTTTAGTCCACGCTTCACGTACCAAAAGAATGAAACGTTTTAAAAAACATTCAGGAGGACAGCAGTTGTGTGAGTGAAAACGAGAGTTAAACGTTCATATATTGCAAACAAGCTTGGAAATTCCAGAGAAAGTGCTGGAAAACTCGGGATGATATAAGAAGCGTTGGGTTGGACGTGACGTGAATACTACACTTGACCTCTTCTATTTAGGTGGTGCAGTGTAGCTTGATCAGAAGGGAAAAGGATTAGGAATTGGGTTGACCGGATATATACCCTGGAACTTTCTGTATGGCGTTTGTGTGGAGCCGATTAACCAGCTGCACACCAACCATCTCATCGTAAACATATGGTACACGCATATGCTGCCCTGAGCACTCAGCATAACCACATACGTCTCAATGTTGTGTAAACTCAATAACTAAATAAAGAAACCTTTAAGCCATTGAGATCACTGAACAGCCACTTACATCGTGACATGTCATAGGGGCTGCAGATCATTTTCTAGATTCATCTTTTTGATCTATAAAATTATGAAAAATATCCATACTGTTGCTCAAAGTCTTAAAACATCTAGTAATGGCAGTCCAAAACCAAATTATATTCACTTAAATAGTATATAAAACATCTGAAAGCAGAAAAATCTCTATATTTAAGTTTCTCAAAACAGCATTAGTTTTGCTAATTTGGCACTTTAACGATTAATATATAATCAAAAATATTTGTAATTATTATATTAATCAATATGTCTAATTTTTTAATGCAGCCCTACAATACATGTATGGCATTACATCGATATAAATCGTATATCTTAAACAATCATGGTAATAAAAATGCTCTAGTCCGTGTAGGTACAACACACAGAGTCAAATGAAGTAACACTAATACACAGCTTAATGCTTTGCTATAAATACACCTTCCTATCCAAAACCTGTTATCCAATGCATGTTGTCTAGGAAGTTGAAAATGTTAATTTGCTAATCCTCCGCAGCTGAGAATGTCAACAAGCTAATCCAGTCAAATCTGTGGTGATTACAAAGGGACACCCACTCACGGTCCATCCGGCTCACAACATGTTTGTGATGGAGTTTAAGCAAGTCGCACCAGTTTATAGTGTTGACAACTTCCCATTGTGCCCTCAGGACCCCGACTAACTTCCTGCCTAAAGTATGTCTACAAACTACAAATAGATCCACCCTGCTTTAAAGCCATTAAACCCCTCGCAGATGTTTGGTCCACATGAAAGGAGTCCCTCTTCACTATGCTGAGCCCAAACCCCGGTCTCCTCAAATAAATCACTGCTGAAACAACGAGCCCCACTCATTATGAAACCAGGCTAAATGTGCCTTTCGAAGGCAATGTCAAGTGTGTCCCATGACTACCAGATTATAAATGAGTCTTTTGAAATGCTGTCAGTGAAATATGGGTCAGCGTGGTCTGGATATAAAGAGGCACTTTGTGTTAAGCAGCAAATATTCTTAAGTGTTCCTCTATTTCACTCATCAAACCAGGAAAGAAGTGACCTTCACGTGATGTCCTCCCACACGTACGCTGCGTCCCACTGCAGGGGGACAGTCACAACTCAATTTCCCTGAGATTATTCAAATATGTATTTGATAGCACAGCAAAGACCGTGTGGGTATGAATTGGAAATGTCATGTTAATATGATGAGCAGTGACTTATATTGTTAGAGAAACTCCCTCTGGAGGGAACTTTATTTTTAAAAAGAGAATTTCCGCCTTTGCTGATTATTTACATGTACTAAAAGCTTTATAACAAACTACAGGAAAGAGAAAACCCCCAAAAACTGAATAGGGCCCCTTTAAAATCACTTTTTTTCGATTTATTTGTATTGTCCCGCACAATTCACAGTCATGTTTTGTTTTTTTAATCACTACCGAAAAATATGTCCTTTCATTTTAAACCTTTGAGTTTGAAAACTAAGATCTAGCTTAACCAGAATCAAATAACTATTAGAAATGTATTCCTATATACACTGTTCGAAATGGGGGGGAGCCAGGGGGAGCTTGGCTCCCCCGAAGAGGGAGGGAGCTCCCTGAAGGCCGACTTTGAGATAAATAGGGGGAGCCCAAAATAATTGTGCATATTTGTGTCACACAGATTAGAAATGTTGAGTTTCTGTAAATTAAAGTTCTTGAAATAAATAATAGTCATTTTTCATTACAGTTTCTGAATATTTGTTTTATATTTGTGAATATTTCTGGGTGTTGCCATCTGTACGTGGCAGCGTTGCATTCTTTACGTTACTTACATTGCTATGGTTACGGCAGGCGATGCCGGCGCGGTATTTGAAATGTTCATATTGATATTGATTTAACTCTGGCTTTGTGATAAAAAATATGGCAAAACGAAAACAGCCAAGCCTCGCAGCTTTTGGATTCACAAGCAAAGAAGCGAAGGAGTCTAAAAATGACAACGTGAACGGAAAACAACTTTTAGTTGGCCGGCTATAAGCGGCGTTAGGGTCGAGTTTGACAGCTCCTCACCGAGTTGAGTAAAGTTGGAACGATATTGGCAGATTCAGATTTCACGGATCAATAACTCATGAACAAAACGTTGTTCAGACACAAAGTACGTCTCCTAAGTACCGTGGTAAGGTTGACAACGAACTACAATCACATTTTGATAAAAAAAAAGCCAATACGTGCTGTCCTCCAAACTGGACACATTAAATTGGTTTCTATCCGCAGCCGGAGAAGAAACGAGTGCTCAGGGACGGTCTGCAAAGTGCAACTCCGAAAAAAGAGAATACAATAATATTCAATCACTTCACATTTATACAGTATATTTCTACCAAACTCACTACACACANTCTTCTATTTTGTCCCTCATAGTTGAGGTATACCTAGGATGAAAATTACAGGCCTCTCTCATCTTTTTAAGTGGGAGAACTTGCACAATTGATGGCTGACTAAAGTCAGCCATCAATTGTGCAAGTTCTCCCACTTAAAAAGATGAGAGAGGCCTGTAATTTTCATCCTAGGTATACCTCAACTATGAGGGACAAAATAGAAGAAAAAAAAATACCAAGAAAATCACATTGTCTAGATTTTGAAAGACTTTTTGCAAATGATGGTGGAAAATAAGTATTTGGTCAATAACAAAAGTTAATCTCAATACTTTGTTATATACCCTTTGTTGGCAATGACAGAGGTCAAACGTTTTCTGTAAGTCTTCACAAGGTTTTCACGCACTGTTGCTGGTATTTTGGCCCATTCCTGCATGCAGATCTCCTCTAGAGCAGTGATGTTTTGGGGCTGTCGCTGGGCAACACGGACTTTCAACTCCCTCCAAAGATTTTCTATGGGGTTGAGATCTGGAGACTGGCTAGGCCACTCCAGGACGTTGAAATGCTTCTTACGAAGCCACTCCTTCGTTGCCCGGGCGGTGTGTTTGGGTCATGCTGAAAGACCCAGCCACGTTTCATCTTCAATGCCCTTGCTGATGGAAGGAGGTTGTCGCGGCGTAGTGTGTTACTGATGGTAGCCTTTGTTACTTTGGTCCCAGCTCTCTGCAGGTCATTGACTAGGTCCCCCCGTGTGGTTCTGGGATTTTTGCTCACCGTTCTTGTGATCATTTTGACCCCACGGGGTGAGATCTTGCGTGGAGTCCCAGATCGAGGGAGATTATCAGAGGTCTTGTATGTCTTCCATTTTCTAATAATTGCTCCCACAG